CTTGATTTTCGTTTAACAATTCTCTTCTGTTAGGATCAATACTGTTTTCGATTTCCCTCGAAGGTAAATTAGGATGTGAGTTTGTTAATTCTTTCTGATAATCTAACATCTTTATTCCGGTTTCACAGAGGTCAAGCATTTCATTCAAAGGTTTAAAATTTGATGGTCGGCATCCTGATCGTCGGGCAAGCCTTGGTATTATGGTAGTTGTCACCAATGTGGTGGTTCGGCATCTGCTGGTTGTCGGCAATATTGCGGTAGTGTAGTAGTGCTATTCTGATACAGTTCCGGCGCGACCAGCTCGCTGTCTGCTCTCGCTCGTGCAAAGCGGAAAGGGCGACAGGCGCGAGAGGGAAGGGAAGGTTTTCGTGCAGGTTCCCAGAATAAGGCAAATCTTAAAAGTCCATTATATATTTTTCAAAGTACAAAAAAGACGACGAAAGCATCAAGAGCGTGGCGCGGGGGTTCCCCGTGTGTTCGGTGTGCGTCCGGAGGTGACTAGATCGCGAGGTTCCTCTCGGAAGCGCTGCGCTCGCCTCTCGCGGGCACCAGCCCCGCCGTGGTGAGCAGTCCTGACGTTCGTCAGCACGTTTCCGGCGGGTGGAGAGGCTTCAGTCTGAGAGGCGGCGTGATAAGAAACCTGCCGGTCTCGACGGGGCGTTCCTCTGACGATGCTCCCCAAGTCTAACGGAATGAGGCGCTACGGATTTCTGGTGGGCTCAGGACGTTGTCCAGTAAAGCCTTGAGCAGGCGGGCAGTGATGCGCCGCAATCTGCGGCGAGATCCTCGCCCCTTGCGGGGTAGATGGCTCGCTGCGTGTGTCCCTACGGGCCGGGAAGCTGATGTTACGGCCTGGCGTAGGCGGGCAAGTCCGAGGAGCTGCGCGCGGGCGCGGTGGTGTCCGTGACGCTGGCCCGGACGCGTGGCTGTCTGCTGATGATGAGGATATCAAGAGGGCGCCGAACAACTCGACTAGCTGCTCTTGCCTGGAGGCCGTGGGGCGGTGGTCGCCCTTGTCGCAGGCGGCGCTGGCCCTGGCCGGCGCGAAGTCGCCGACGATCCGGGATGCGTCGGTGCCTGGATGTCTCGCTGTCCTCCCAGCCGGGAAGTCCGCTCTGTGCTGGTCCTGGCGGCGGGGGTAGGCCTTCCCGCGGTGATGGCTGCCAGCAGGCTGCTCGGGCACGGGCGGATGCGGCTGCGAGGTCGGCGGCGGTGAAGAGGCGGCTGCGACGTGGTGGCGGAGTCTAGGTCCCTGGATGGCGTATTCCTGGTGTCGTCTCCGCGGCGTGGCTTTTCTCCGGTGTCGGAGGCAGTGGCTCGTTCGGTTGTCTCTCGGCAGGGGTGCCGGGAGTCTCGCTCAACGGCGTGTACGGCCGCTGAGGAGAACTCAGGCGAGAGGAAGCACGGCGTGCACGGCCGCGTCGGAGGGTTGAGGAGATCCTCTATGGCGTGA